AATTTAAAGATATTAGTTTTAAACATATAAAGTGATTAGACTGAACTGAGGAACAGGATGTTGTAATATGAGAAAGAAAGAACATGATAGTAATTGAGGAGAATCACAGAATACTCCAGACTTTTATAAAAGTAATATATTTTTCATCATAATTCAATGTCCTTTTATGCCAGTAATTTAGTTTATATCGTTCTCGCACATTCTTACAGATCCAATCAGTGTAATACATTTTATTTTCCACAAGGTGGCAGCAGAGGATTATTAATCGATCATTATTGTAAACTCTGAGCTTAAAGCTGTGAAGTGCATTTTCACTTTCACTGAGCTGAGGTCACTGCTGGTGTCCTAATATGACTTCAGTGTTCGCTCAGACATAAAATAATAATAAAAAATAAATTATTAATAATAACAAGGTACATTCAACATTTTTAAATATTCATATCACTTTCATCAATATCAACCATCATCACATCAATACAATTAAAAATCAGTGTCTAATCAGGAAACCAAAAGAAAACGATGTGACTTCTTCTAAGTTTAGATTGTAATTAAAAGTGTGCTGTCATAGATTTCCACCCTATAATAAATAACATTAACTACAATTTAATGCTAAATTAATGCCATTAATTATCATCATCATCCTCAATAGAAGTCATGAAAAAGAACAAATTAACTAGAATCAAACACTCATCAATAATATCTTAAACAGGTGTGTCCTGTTCATGACTCAGTCCTTGTGATTGTTGGATGCTTCACTGAAGTTCATGTTTTTCCTTCCTTCATTAATTCACATTGAAACATGATCACGATTAAAAGAAGACGAGAACAAATTAAGAAATCGCGATCACGAATTAAAAAAGATATAATCACGAAATAAAGAAAACTTGCGCACGATTGAAAGAAAACGAGAGAACGAATTGTTAATCGTGGGAATGAATTAGGAAATCGTGACCACGAAGAAAAGTAAACATGCATACGAATCACAACACGTTCACTCGAAATAATTTTTATTTTTACCTCTGTCCCCTCCGGGGCTCCGTAGGGCTTCGCTTCTTAAGGGGGCGAGTCAACACATTTAATTGACAAATAGGTAAACGAGAGGAAGCGAACTGACAGAACAGAAAGACCGAGATCAGCGATAAACATCTCGAAACTGACTTCTAACATAAACTGGAAGCTCTTTTACCTTCAGTCTGTGTTAATCTGTGTGTTTTAGCTCTGAGTGTTCAAAACAGCCAAAACCAGCTTTTTTATCATTGGTGACTACAGAGGAGGCCTGGGTATTGATTGGTCAGCTGTAGGGGCGTGGCTAGGTCAGAGCTATTGAACTATATTTTATGATTTTGTAGTCAGTGGCTCATTTACTCTCCATATGAGAGAATCTGCTAAATGTGTGTGTTTAGTGTTTTGAGAATGTGAATGTAGGCATTTGGGAGCTCTGACACCGTGTCCTGAAATGTTTGTAGGCAATCAAGAAAAACTGTAAATACAATCAAATGAAATAATTATAAGTGCTGGCCCTGATGATAATGTGGATTATTGTCCTGAGTGGATATTTAGTATCAGAGCTGTTCTGCCTCAGTCTGGAGTCTGAGTTTACTCCTGTTCAACATGGTCTGAGTTTACTTTTAAAAAAGAGAGAAAATGCAGGAACAATTCATCAAGATACCTGAATACATGGTTTATTAAGTACAGCTCACTGTCAACATCCTGTATATCCAGAGCTCTTGTGTTACAGCAGTGACTTTTGGATTATAGGATATAGTTCTATTCTAGATCCTCATTTTAGAGACACTGAGCTTCTGGAAAATCAAGCTTTACATTCTGAATGATGAGGAGCTCATGTTGAGGAAACAGTGGTTATCAGCAGATAAACTAGCAGCACATTCAGTAGCTGCTTTAAAACATTAGCTTGACTTTAAATGCTAACTGAGTTAACAAGTTTACTACACTGTACAACAAATTACTTTCTTGGGTAAACATTTTATTGTGTTGTCACAACAAAACAAAACAGTTTATTTAGTACTTGATGGAAAAACAAGGACATATAGTCTGAATTCACTACATTATGTCATACTGGTGAACTATAAAAAGCTGCCTCTACTCAAAGATGAGGTGATGATGTCATTTCCCATGAAAATGTTGCTTTGTACCAAATAAATGCCCTGTCAAATAACACTATTGCTATTGTTGTCACAACAGAGCGATTCAAGTTTGATTATTTGAATGAACAAGCAAATAAAACCAGGAACCTAATATGTCCTAAAAAAGCAGTAAATGTTTCAAACTGAACTGATGAACTTTTTTTTATTTTTTTGCAGTGCAGCTTAAACATTAGTAATCTAAAGTTTATTATTGCTCAATAAACAGTTATAAGCAGCTGCTTGATTTTGAAAGCCAATATCGATAATAGAAGCTGTTAGGGAAAATTATTTACAGTGAAACATCACTTTCCTCACTGTTTCTGACTGATAAACGCTGAACATTCTCTTCTGACCAGAACATCTTTCAGTTCCTTACCTTCATAAATTATATACAATGACAATGAAGAGCCCTTTAACTGCAGACCTTCAATCCAAAACAATCATTTCCTCACATTGTAATTAAAACCGAATGCTTCTGGCAACAAATCAGTCATTTATCCTAAAATCTTTTATATATATATATATATATATATATATATATATATATAAATGCATTTGTAATTTGTTTACATATACTTGGGGTGTTTAACCCACTGTATCCCATTTATACTCTATAAAAAAATCATTGTGGTCTATAATAATGTCATTTCTTGCTCCTGAAGAGGTTTGAGTGTAGTTTCCTGAGGAAAGATCTCTGTCTGAGGTTCTGTCTGGGGCTCCTCCTCCACGTCATCATAGTCTGTAAACAGGTGAATTAAACCTCTTTAAAATATTATTTAAAAAAAACAGTCCTACAGTTAATGTATTTCAAAAAAGAGGAAAAGAGGAAAACAGACAACAGAGCATTATGTAAGTTTGTTTAACAGTTAGGCTGTAACTCTTTTAAATATTTATCAAAACATGAACATAATGCTGAGACATTCCATGTGTAGAAGAAGCTACAGAGCTGCCAGTGAATACTGAATGACTAGTTCTGTCTGATTCACCTTCATGGTAGTTCTTAGTCCAGAACTCTTTAACTTACTGGAGGGCCAGTGTCCAGCACAGACTTCCTTGTTTCTTACTCTAGTGATCAAACACACTTGATTCATTTCATCTGTTAATTACTATGGTTATTCAGTTTGAACAGAGAAACACCAAACAGTGCTGGACACTGACCCTCCATAAACCTTCAGCTCTACAGATCTATTCTCTGTCCTTAAATAAAAGACACAACCAACTCTGTTGTCCATCTGTATTGCCCATCTTTCCCAGAACAGACTTAGACAGATGTAGAGAGGACTGATTACTTCCAGTCCTGTCTAGAAGGCAGTGTTGCACTAATCATGTCCATCTTACACATGTGCACACTTCTTACAAAATGCACTTATAAGTTTACGTGTGCAACTAATTTATAAATTAGTCTCCAGAACTGTCTGCACAGAGTGAATGAAGACTGTACTTGATAACAAATGACAGTGTTCTGTCCCACATTAAAATAACGAAGACACTATTTATTTATCTTATAGATAATGTAAACATACTTTCACGAGAATTCCTCTGCAAATAAATCAGCTATTCCACACTCCACAAGTACATCTGCAATCCATACACAACAAGATCAGCCACTCACCTTTATCCTCTCCTACATCCTGTCCAGCAGTGATGACATCGTCATAGTTATCTGATGTGTCCACTAAACCAACATGGAAAGATAAATTGCAATTAAAAGGAACCAAACTGATGTTTTTACTGTGTTGAATCTTCTGTTTAATTTTTTTCCTACATTAAGAAAATTCTTGCCTGTCAAAATGTTGGAGTTTGGTCCAGCGGTAACAGCATCATCATAGTTATCTGTCATGTCTTCTGTCAAAATGTAGAGATAAATGTCATTAAATCAGCATCAGTATCATCAGTGACTGTGTTCATGTTTGAGATTACAGTGTTGTTACATTACAAGTCAAACCTGTTACAACAGCTGAGCTCTGATCAGCAGTGACGACATCATAATTCTCTGCTGCGTCCTCTACACCAAAACACAGAGACATTTAAAGGAAATAAAACCATATTTTACACAGTTGTATTAGCCAAGTGTTTCTGACATAATTAGTATGATTTTATGACATTATGTTACTATTGATTACATTGCTATATTTGAATTCCATATTTGAATTATTTTTTTAAAATAATATATATACCTTATATATATATATGTATATATATATATATATATATATATATATATATATATATATATATATATATATACTTCATTTTTCACTTTTTGACATCATTTGGACAATATGTCAAAATTTCATAATGAATGGAACAACCGAAATGGTCCAAAATTACCTTGAAAAAAAAATCTCCATTTACTTCCATTAAAAGTCAAAAAATCAAAGGGAAACAAGTAAACAAAAACTCTATAAGGGCTATAAGGCTCAGTGATCTGCTAAGAGGCACAAGACTTCACAACTGAGGTAAGAAAGCTGGAGTTTTAATAGCAGAGATGAAATGAGAAACAGGTGGAGGGCGGAGCCGAGCGAGGGAGAGAGAAGGCCTCAAATGGTTCAGAAAGTCATTACAAGTACAGACTGTTAGATTATTTTATTTTCACAGCATTTGCAATGTTTTTAATCTCTACTTAATTTCTAGTTCTAAACTAAAACCCCAAAACAGAAACACACCTGCTACACTATCAGAGATCTGTCCAGCAGTGATGGCATCATCATAGTTCTCTGCTGTGTCCTCTTTTGCTGATTCACCTAAATCAAATAAAAGCAGACTGACTTTACAAACAGTGTAATCATATTTATACATTGCGGTTTAATGTAAAGAAAAAAAACGATCAGGTGATTAATTAATAAAATAATTCACTTATCAGACCACTGGTGGTGACATCATCATAATATTCTGCCTTTACTCCAGTCAGAGACTTTGCTGCAGAAAAAAAAAGATCACTTTTAATCAAATTTTAAAATAAAAAACTCAGAGACCCTTTAATGTCAATTTCAGTGTGTGACTGCATTAAGATTATTCAGGAAATAATTTCTGCAGACACCTCTGATCTAGAGATTAATCAAATCTTCAATCAGAGAAACAAACTAAACTCACGATTAAAGAGAATTTCACTCTGAAACAGCAAATACAAACAATACCAGGAGAAAAAAATGTAAAGGACTAAAATGTAACTGTTAAAAAGTAAATTACTTTCCTAATAAATACTGTATACCCATTTAGAAGTAAAACTACACTGAACAAACACATAAATGCAAAATTGGGTTTTGCACCCATTTTGCATCAGTTTAATAAAATAAAACCAAAATTCTTTATTAGAAATGCATCGTGCTGCTACAGGCAAATGAAAAAAAAAATAAAGTAAAAAAAAAAGTAAAATACTATTAACAGTGTAAAATAGAGTAAAATAATATATAGAAAGTAAATATAAACATAGTTTTACACTTCTGGTGCTGTGTTTCAGATATTGGATTTACTCTGAGCCTCAATGTTCTCAGCATAAAAAAAACACTACTGAAAGAAACTTGGATTAAGAAACATTTGTTTATAATGAACCACAACGATAAAGATGATGATGATGATGATGATGATGATGATGTTTATAATGAATTCTCTAATGAATTCTACATGGTGATTGTAATATTTCTCAGTGGAATGAAGTTTTACACACACACACACACACACACGTGTTCTGGTCCTCTTACCTGAGAGAAGCTCCTCATCCACATCCTCATATCCTGAATGCTGTTCTTCAGAGAGGATACTTCCTGTTAGAGGAGAGCAGAACAGTCATCAAACATGTTCAGAATGGAGAACCACCCACAATCCTCTGAGTGCTGTGGATCACTGAGAACTGGGTGATTACAGGAAATCACATCAGTGCAGACAGTAGAGGGCGCTCTTCGAGACAACACTCAGACACAGACACAACCCCTCCATCCTCACACACACACACACACACACACACACACACACACACACACACACACACACACACAAATACATACACATTTATTCTCTTCACAAGAGGAAATCTTTTTTTTTTCTTACAGTTGGATGCACACATTTCTCAATACTGAAATTACACAACTCTTTGCACAGTTCTCTTCACCATCACACAGCTCATCTCAGCAGATAATCACACATCTAAAACACACTAAAACCACCCAACACCTTTCATACTCTCCTCAAGAGTGTAAAGAGTTTTGAAAGTATGAACACAGTATTAAGAAATGTGTGTTAACACCTGAATTTCACTCTGAAACAGAAAAAAGCAGAAAATGTTACTAGTAATCCACATAAAGCACAACCAGCATAGAGAGTCAGACAGAGAGGCTTTACACCAGAGTTGTTCAGTTCCCGTCCTGGAGGGTCAGTGTCCAGGGCAGTTTACTTATTTACCTGCTCAATCCCTGACTCAACTTATCTGTTAAGTATCAGGTTTAGTAGGTGAGTTTGAGCTGGGAAATGACCACACAGTGCTGGACACCAGATCGAGTACTGAAACTAAGCAGCTCTACTTTATACCATGGCTAAAGAGCTTTACTGAGCCTGCTGACTGAGAAACTTTACACCACAGTTAAGGATTTTTTCTGGGCCAGCCAGCTGAGAAACTTTACACCACAGCTAATGTGTTTTTATGATACTTTACTTTGTGATTTGGGGATTTTTTTCCTCACCAGCCAGGGAACTGTGTGAGTGTTTGTGTGTGTGTGTGTGTGTGTGATAGTTGTTTATTTTTGATTTGTCTTTTTTTACTGTTGTGCAGCATCTTTGAGTTTGAAAAAGGCACCATATAAATTAAACACATTATTAATGATTATTTATTACATATCAAATAATATAATTTACTGTAAACATTTTGCATAACTATTGTTTATTAAACATGGATGTAGTGATTTTTTTTTTTTATAAACTGTGATTGTAATATTTCTCAGAGGACACACACATGTTCTGGTCCTCTTACCTGAGAGAAGCTCCTCATCCACATCCTCATATCCTTCAGAGAGGATACTTCCTGTTAGAGGAGAGCAGAACAGTCATAAAATATGTTTAGAATGCAGAACCTTCCACAATCCTCTGAGTGCTGTGGATCATTAGGAGCTACATGCTGAGGACAAATTAAAGGAAAAACCTGAATAAATAAGTGGAGAAAGTAAATGAGTGTAGAAGCTTCCAGACAGGTGTGCTGCATGATACAGTTAAGCATTCAGCTTAATCCTACCATGATCTGTGGTGTATATAAATATGCTGAGCTTCCCAGAATGATCCCAATTTTGGCTCAAGGTGGCTAAATGCAACGATCTAAGTGGGCCTGCAAAAGTTTTCATTGTTGAGGCACAGAAGGCAGTTTCAGTCACACAGACTGCTCACTGGCTCATTTTTCAATAGGAAAAGTGACTGAAGTGACATCTGCATCTCGATCTTTGGGAAAGACATCAGTAAATAGGGCTGGACATTGTGGTAGAAAGCGCACTTACCTGATGAGTCATTTTATCACTTGGTAACTCATGCAATACTTGGTCACTCAATCATTCAGTCAACACTCACTCAGATACTAACTTGGTTGCTCACATGGTCACTCACTCATTTTCTCAGTCACTTGGTTGCTCACTTTGTCACTCACTTATCAGTCAGTCATTCAAAAAATCACATGCTTGTTTGGTCACTTACTTCATCACTCATTCTGTCACTGTCACCTGGTCACTCGGTCACTTGGTTATTCACTCAGTCACTTGTTCACTTGGTCACCCACTCTGTAACTCAATACAATACTTGGCCACTCACATGGTCAATCACTAGAGCTCTCACTCGACCACTCATTAAATTCATTACGTTCACTTGGTTGTTTATTTGGTTACTTATTTGTTTGCTCGGTCACTCGATCACTTGGTCATATTAACTTACTTGGTCACTCACTGGATCACTTATGAATCACTTGGATACTTACATGGTCTCTCAGTAACTTGGTCACTCACATGTTACTTCCTCGGTCACTGATTAGCTCACTCACTCAATCACTTTGTTACTCGGTTACACTAATTCATTTGATCAATTATTTGATTATTCTGTCACTCACCTGGTCACTCAGTCACTCAGTTTTACTTATCACTTGGTCACTCTCACCTTGTCATGTGGACAATCACTCACTCAGTAAGTCACTCAGTCACACACTGACTCAGTCACTAACTGATGGGCTCGCTCTCTCAGTGACTCCTTTAGTCAAGCACACACGCACACACACACACACACACACAGTGTTACTTTCCTGCTCTCTCCACCCCCCCCCACCTCTCTCACACACATACACACACGTAAACACACATGCACACCTGCAGCTGTGTGGTTTCTCTGTATGTCCAAAAATGGAAGTTTTACAGGAATTACACAGTTTAACTTCAACTGCCTAATAGATGCTTATCAGCAGAATTAACACACTACACTACATGTAGATCTACTCCAACTGCACATTTAATCTAATATGCATATTTATTACAATTTTTCTTGATTGCTGAGGTCGACTTAATCTTTATTATGTTCTTAGCAAAGTAGCAGCTTATAGTTGCAAACGTGTTAACAAATTCTCATTGTTTTTATTCACTTTTCACACACTTTTTCAAAGCATTTAACACAAATCCCCCATAAAACAAAAAAGTTAATTGGATTACTGTATAAAACAAATGGGAAATGTACTCACAACTGACAAAAATGCTCTCATAGTTATCTACCTTCAGCAACCATGTGAACTACATAGTCTACTGTAGTTAACTCAGCAATCAGCTGTGATCAGTTGATGATTGTAAATGTGGATAAAGGAAACTGTCGAAAAGTATTAATCAGATATTGTATTTTTTGCTTTTTTCCATACTCATTGAAAAAGGTCAGAATAGAGAAAAGCAACACTGACTCAAATGAAGGCAAACCACAGACTGGAGACAGTATATGTCAGTAGAGGGATGTGAAATACGTAAGTCTGTTCTTGTGTGAAGGTGATTGTGTTAGAATGTCTTCCACCTTCATAAGCCATGATTGATGACATGGTTCATAAATGTTTTGGCTGAATTTTGCTGGAATTTTCTGTTCAGTATGGTATTTATGCTAAGGCCTTCTGTTTGGGTGCCTCTGACACAGTCTATACCACTACTGACAAACAGTCAAGCCTGGCGACTGGAATCTCTATATATATAGGAATGGGAATATGGGAATATACATTACATTGTACTGAAGTGTATTGCTGGTAATACTTTCTGACAATTATATAATATAATATAATTCTATATTCTCACAATTTTTGTAAAAAAAATCAGCAGATATTACAGGACAGACATACAGCATTAATGAAGGCTGGATAGGGTCAAACTGAAACTTGTGTTTGAGGGAATTCACTCACCTAATTTTTAGGGTTCAATATGAAAGTTTGCTTTTGGGTAATGAGATTAAAGTTTTGTGGAGGTTAGATCATTATGTGAAGAAGGTGCATCGGTTTGACCAGCAAGACTGTGTTAAGTATCATATGTTAACTGTTTTCAGAATATGATTGCTGAATGAACAATATTGTCAAGTTACTGAGAAAAACTGTAATACACTAAGAATATACTAATAATAACATTGCTGTTTTTTTATAGTTAATATATTATTGTTATTATATTATGAAATATTGCTGTTTTGCATTGTAAAATATTACTGAAAATGAACTATTACTGGGCAAATGTGTATGCACTGTGGTGTGTGTTCTTTGGACTTGTCAGTATACTTTAATTTATTCCAATAAGGCTCATATAGAACACTCTTCATATCACTCACCCCTTTGCGTCGAGTCATTTCTTTTAGTGATGTTCCTGCGGTCGACCTCCTCATAGACTGCCTCAGTCAGAGTCTTATGCCTCCTCTTAGAGATCACTGTGAGGGAGACAGAGAGAAACATGGAGCCAGTTCAGTAGAAGAGAAGACTGATGACAGATTGAAGGACTAATGATGTTTAGAGAATGTACAGAAAGTGGATTGTAGATGATCTCTGAATCTCTCTACCTCTCCTGAGCACTCTGTTCTGGTAAAACAGCACAACCAGAAGCACTAAGGCCAGAAAGAGCACCACTCCCAGAACCAGGAGAGGCACTGGATAGACGGATGAAATATGTAGACTTTCTTCATTCAGGAGTTTCTTTATTGGCTGAACAACTGAAAATAAAAACAGAAACTGTGTAGAGCACTGAAAAGTTTATTTAGAAATATTTAGAAAAATGATCTAAGAGACCAGCGGTGGTGGTGGTGGTACTTTTTGTTGTGGGTGCAGCAGTAGAAGGTACAGATATGTCTGTAAATACAGGGAAAAAATACAAACATTAACTCAGTAAAGTGAAGCTGTTGGTGCTAACTGGCAGTTCTGATTCTAACTTATTACAATTTAAGCATTAGATATGTTAACCCTCTATACAATGTTGCCTCAGAGCAACAAACTCATTTCCCTCACTTTACAATAACATTATACATATTTAAAGACAATGATAGGATTAACAGTAAAGGGAAGTTATTGAATATGTCAATAAAAAGAATGTGCTTGGTCATACTATCTCTTTAAACCTCTTTTTAAAAATTGAGTATAATTTTTTTTTTTTGTCATGAGATTTTGCAGAAATATATTTGTTGCCTAGAAGCAACATTATGTGACAGTGGAATGGATTTAGCCAGTAACAAGCCAGGTCTCACCACTTCAGGAAATATGGCTCTATATAATTTCTTCCCATTGTCACATAATGTTGCCTCAAGGCAACATACTCCAAAAGGACCCCTGCACACATTATTATTATTATTATTATTATTATTATTATGTTTTTTTTATGTCTTTGAATTTAATAATCATTCCAAAAATAAATCAAGGACGATTTTATGCAAGAAAAGTGAATTGATTTTTTTATTTTAAATTGCTCTCATAATGCATGCAGTAGAGGGTTAAACTAACATTAGGTAACATTAACAAATGTGAAACATTGTAGTTTTCAATGAAGCCTTGCAGATTATTAACGCTGGAATAAAAGTGGTTTGATTGGAGTCAAAAACTCCTCTGACCTGCACAGGTGACTCCAGCATCCTGACTGTGGGAGCAGTCAGTGTGTTCCTTCAGGGAATGAGGACAGTCCCACAGGTGAATCTCATTCCCTCTACACTTCACTCTGTTCAGCCAGATAGTCCCTCCACCAGCACTAAAGAAAAGACTCCCATTAGCAATCGCTGGCCCACAGCCCAGCTGCCTGCAGACCACCTGAGCATCCCTGATGTCCCACAGATCAACACAGACAGAGCCCCACTTAGTTTGATGATACACCTCCAGCCTCCCAGAGCAGATTCCTTCTCCTCCTTTCAGCCTGAGAGGCAGGTGATCTACATCACACACATCACATATGAAGAAGCATAAAAACTTAGAATTAAGTTTCACAAAGAAATCTTTTACATTCAAATTCATTTGTTCAATTTAATTTGTGCAGGTACAGTAGATATAAAAGTCATATGTGTTTAGGAAAAATTTGACTTAAACTGAACCTGTCTAATAGTTCAGATAAAAAGCTCTGATTGGCCTTGATAGAATGTTTTCATTAACGGTTATGAATCATAAAGAGGAGATATTCATGAAAATGACATTGATTTTTATTATCTAAAAAAAGATTCACTGCACATTATTTTATTGATATGTTTGTTATTTTAATGTCTTACTTGAGCACTGCTGCTGGTGTGGAAATAAAAAGCATGTTGGATGAGCAGGTGGTAAGCTTCCCTTATCTGTAGTAAGAAAATATAGTAGTGTAGTGTAGTAGTGTAGTCACTGAACAATTTAACTTACAGGCTAAGCTCTCTGGGCATTTAGTCTTGTAGCCTCACCTTCACTCTTAACATTTCTGTTCATGGCAATGGATAAAAAACAGTATTAACTGTGGAAAGTAACTGCTTACCTGAGCAGGTAATGTGAGCCACCTCGTTGCGATTATCACAGTAGTTTTGTCTCCAGGGTGAAGATGGACAATGC